GTCTCCCGTCACTGCCTCCTCTCTCTCTGTCACTGCCAGTCTCCCGTCACTGCCTCCTCTCTCTCTCTGTCTCTGCCCGTCTCCCATCACTGCCTCCTCGCTCTCTGTCCGTCTCCTGTCTCTGCCTGCTCTCTCTCTCTCACTGCCTCCTCTCTCTCGCTGTCTCCTGTCTCTGCCTCCTCTCTCTCTCTGCCTCGCCGTCTCCTGTCACTTCCTCCTCTCTGCCTGTCTCACTGCCTCCTCTCTCTCTGCCCCTGTTTCTCTCTCTGCTTGTCTCTCTCTGCCTGTCTCCTGTCTCTGCCTCCTCTCTCTGTCAGTACAACGCCTCCACGCTTCCACTGGACAAGTCTCGTCTGTCTCCGTCTCTCCAGGCAGCTCGGTGCTCCTGCGGGACGACTCTCCGCGCTCGGCAGACGTCTCCATCGACATGGATGCCAGGGCCAGCCAGCAGCTGCAGCTCCTCGACGAGCAGGTGAGGGGGAGGAGGGGCCGGGGGAGGAAGGCTGGTGCGGCCGGGCCCGTGTGGGGGCCGGACCCGTGAGCGCTCCGTCTGCTCTCCCCAGGACTCGTACATTCAGAGCCGGGCCGACACCATGCAGAACATCGAGTCCACCATCGTGGAGCTGGGCTCCATCTTCCAGCAGCTGGCTCACATGGTGAAGGAGCAGGAGGAGACCATCCAGAGGTGAGGAGAGAGGGACGGGGGACAGGAGAGAGGGACAGGAGAGAGGGACGGGAGAGAGGGACGGGAGAGAGGGACGGGAGAGAGGGACGGGAGAGAGGAGAGGGAGGGGAGAGAAGGAGCCTGAGAGAGAGGAGAGGGACAGGGTGAGGGACGGGAGAGGGAGGGGGGAGGGGAGAGAGAAGGAGCCTGAGAGAGAGGAGAGGGACGGGAGAGAAGGAGCCTGAGAGAGAGGAGAGGGACGGGAGAGAGAGGAGAGGGACGGGAGAGAGAGGAGAGGGACGGGAGAGAGAGGAGAGGGACGGGAGAGAGAGGAGAG